CAGCATGTTGGTTTTCTCAGTGCTGGCCTAAGAAGCTGCAAAAGAAGTATACAACCTGGCAGTGTACACCAACAATTTGAAGATACAATCTTTTTGTCAAGTCACAGTATCAGAGGTAAGCTGCAGATCAGAATAACTTGTGACATGCTGGCAGTTTGCTTTAGCATCATGTTATGAGCTGCACATCTGTTAGGAGACATGCAATTTTATTAGAACGACATTATGGTTAGACTGATTTTTTTTTTTCCTGAGGAATTAGAAAATAAGGTGCTTCACATCCAGACTTTCAAGCAGAAATAAAACTAGTGGAAATATGTTTTACAGGGACTCAGCTTGTAGCTTTGCTTTTTGTAAAGACAGACATCAATCAGCATTTAAGGATTGCCCCAACTGAGAAAAAAGTGGAGTTCCCACTATTTAGAGAACCATCGACTTCTAAGCAGTGCTTGTTAGAAAGGGGAAGTGAACAGTGAACACAGGGCATACAAATTAGAGGGAAGGAAGGGGGGGATGGTGTATTAAACAAACAAAAAAAGGTAGGAATCTGTTTAGGGACATGTCGAAAAGAATGCAAAGGGGAGACTGGTGCCAGTGTAGATGATAAACTGGGGTAGTGCAGGAACAATTATGACTGCATCATTCAGTATTTGGAGTGGAAGAAGCAAATAGCATTTGTTTACAGAAAATCAGAACGAAGGTCAACAGACCTACTTAAAGGGAGTCACCCTTTATACTACCTATGTTTCCTCCTGCTTCCCTTCCTCTCAACTGGCATTAATTCAAAACTGATTACCTCAAAGACTGGTCTTTCTCCATAAAATGTAAATGTTGTGTGGACTCTAGGCCATGATCAACAAACCTCACTCTATCTGGATGATACAAAATTAAGTAAGGTTTCTTTAAAACATTAATATACCACTTTCATCTCCCCCAGAGTGGTTGCTGCCCACTGTGTAAAACTAATGAAAAATGTAACATGAGACAGAGAGCGCTGTTCAAGGAGACAATAGCAGAAGCCAATATAGCTTGTCAAGTTCAAAGTAAGTAACTTTTGTAAACAGGATTAGCATCTAACACATAATGTTTAAGTCAATGAACTCTGCAGAGAAAGAACAATGCAGTCTGAGACACCAAGAGAATTCTTGAAAGACAGAGGGGCAACCCTCCCGTTGCCTAACGCTGACAGAGAAGAAAGTTTTTGCTATTTTCGACTCCCACTCTTTTGTATGTTCAGTAGCAAGTCTAGATAGAAAATACCGCCAGAAAACAGTAATAATGCAAAGGCCTAGTAGAAAAGCAAAGCTATGCACTTTTTTTTTAAAACAAGAGTCTCAAAAAAATAAAAATACCAGAAATTAAAAGCTTTTTAAAGCCTCAAAAAGTAATCATGATCCATTAATCAAGGGCTAACCACAGACCCCAAAATACTAGCTCATGTCTTGACAAACATGTCAGATGGCTGTCTAAAACATATTGATGTCAAAACCACTCTCTGTAACTGAAATCCTAATGTGCTGTGCATGCCACAGGATTAAGAGGAGCCTTCGGTCAGATCAAATGCTCTCATGTACTGATGAAACCACACTTAATGCTACAGCCAGTTAAGTTTTCCTCTCTCCGCATCTCCTTCCCCTGCCCCCATTTTTAAAGCATTGTCCAGCCATTGAACACTGATGTTCAAGACCCCTGTGATGTACAGTGAACATCCGCTGCTATACAGAGGATGATTATTTATTTTACTTAACATTATCACTTCCCTGACATGTTGCATCTCCTTCCATCTCTACCTGGCCTACACTTTCCCCCACCCACGAACACAAAGGAAAGAACTATAGCAACCTCTTCTTGAACTGTAAAAATTCAGCAGCAAGACAAGCAGGTTTGCTGTTCCCTGACCCAAGTTATAGCCCAGTTTATAGACTGGATAACTGATAAAAGTCAGTGAAGACTAATTAACACAGCTTGACCAAATGCACAATGCCATTCCACCCATTGCAGTCTAAAAGCCACCAAGAGACAGCATTACACTGTGGCAGCAACTATTTCACCACAAGCAGTCCCTGTATTTTTCTTTAATCAGGACAGTTTAATGTCTATAACCCTGAAAGATTCAATGACAGTACCACACACATCACTGACATTATAGACAGAATAAAGCCAGACATGTAACTACAGAAACATTCCACAGTATGCTAGGAGACAGTCTGCTCTTGAAAACGTTTTTTTTTTGGGGGGGGGAAGAAAAAAAGCAACAGTTTGCAAAACTTTTTCTCTTCAAAAATTAGGGGTTTGAGAAAATTAATCTTACTGCTCTGAAAGCCATTACCAAGCGTTTTATTTTCTCCCTCTGCCTTCTTCAGCTATTTATTTCCACCCATTTCCTTTTGCTGTGTCAAGCACTCATGCAGTAAACCAGCTCAGCAAGTTCATTACGACATAAAAATAACGTAACATAAGAAGTCAGAGCACTGATCCAACTTGCCATGTCACTAAATGGAATGAAAAGGGAATGGCAGGGTATGAAGGGGAACCAGCTTGCCATATCACTAAATAGAATGGAAAGGGAATAGCAGCGTATGAAGCGGGTAGGGAACTTTTGATGGCAGCCTGCATTTTATCAGATCAAGCCTACCACAAAACAGCACTTCAGCAACCTAGTATTAGACATAACACATCTGCTGTTAGCGTAACAGCTCCTGCAGGTTAGGTAGGGCTAAAGCCTTTAACTCTGTAAGAATCCTACATTAAAACTGACTCATCTTTTTGCAAATCAGAAAACTTGAGTTACCAACTTCACTGGGAAAATCTATCCTTTTTACATATTTGGCTCTTAAGAGCAACACCACACTCCTTCAGAAACCCACAGATTTCCTCAGTACCAGCTTTCAGTGAGAGCCCGTAACAGCAATGCTTCCTTTACTTTCTAATTTCATGTAAGCTCTTTTCAGAAAGTGCTTAGCAAACTGCAGGACAGACAAAATTCTTCCATGGACGAAATTCTACATTCAGAAAGCTTTGAAAAATTTTTCTTCTGCATATTGTTCAAGGCTGATGGTCAAAACTGGGTTTGCACTTACTTGGCTTCAAATCAAAAACTTGTTTTATTAGTTGTCTAGTTAAAATACTCGATCATCTTATGTATTTGTTTCTAAAACCCACCAGTATTTCAAATATTGCTCTAAGTGCCAAAATATTGAAATTCAGATGTATTTAGGGATCAATAATCATAGTTTGGAAAACACCAACTAACTTTTCACTAAATTTACCTGGAAAGGGTGGAGGAGAAAAAAAAAATTATATATCAGTGATTAAATGTACCAGAAAGGACGACAAGCACAGTAACGCCAGTTAAACGTCAAAGGACACACTGAGCGTTTGGCTGCAGGGAATACTAGAGTGGGAAGCAGTCGGATGCCGTGTCAGAAGAAGAACACAGGTATCATGCGACTATGTGATAAAACCGCTTTCATGTGTCAACATATTGCTAACCCACGCAATCGCTGGGCAAACGCAGGAGTATTTCAACGCCTGTTTCTTAACAGGTTAGAGGGTTTCCTATGCACCCCACCCTACGCCAGCTTCCCCTCGGCAGCCCAGTGCCCGAGCACGGAGGGCCAGGCCGCGCCCCGACGGGGCAGGCCGGGGCGAGGCACGGGTGGCCTGTCTCCAGACGCCCGCTCTGCCTGGGGCTCACTCTCGAAACTTCTTCCGAGCCAGAGTAGGAGCGGGACACCACCCAGACCCGGGGCCGGGGCAGCTCCACGACCCCTTCCAGGCGGGGCCGCTGGAGGCAGGGCGGCGGAAGCGGCTGCCTGTCCTACAGACGCAGCGCAAGCGTGGCGTGGCGGGAAACGAGAGGGGCAGGAGGGCAGCCCCGCTCCCCACTCCCTGCTCTAACAGCTCAGACCCGACCCCCAGACCGTACACGTGTCAGCGGGCAGCGGGATGATCCGCACCGGCTGCGCGCGGCCCGTGAGCCCGAAGGCGGACAGACGGCGGCTCAGGCCGCCGGGGCCCTTCTTTACCTGGCTTGGCAGGTTTAGGTGGCGGCTTAGACATGCCTGGAGACGGCCGGAGTGCAGATGAGGCTGCGGCAGAGGTCTGCCGAAGAGTAGAGTAACCCGCTCTCGGCTGCCGAACCAAAGCGCGGAGGCACGGAGGAATGAAGGGCGAGGGGAGTGCCGGAACGAGGGAGGCGGGGGCTACAGGCAGCGCTCCCCAGTGGCGGCAGGGGACGTTTCGCTGGTCCCAGGCACGGACCCAGCCAATCCTATCGCACGCCGAGGTCCCGCCCCCCGAAGCGGCAGGAGGTGGCAGCCAATGGGGCGGGGCAGCGGAGGGGCGCGTGAAGCTGTGGGGATCGCGCCCGGGGGTCGGTTGGCGGCGGCGGCGGCGGCGGCGGCGAGGCTCCAGGAGAGCGGGCGAGTATCCTGCAGGGTGGCGGGGGGGTTATGACGTCAGTGAGCCGTGACGCGGCCGCGGTGGGTTGTGAGCCGCGCCGTGCGCGGCGTGTGGCAGCGGCCTCGTGCCGCGGGCAGCTCCGTGACGGGGCACAGGAGAAGCGCCTGGGCCGGGCGGTTCCCTCAGTGCTGTCCCGGTGTCTGTGAGCAGCGGTTAAAGTTACGTTTAGCACAGAGGCGCTGAGGTGTTGGGAGCTGTGGGCCCTCCAAACTCGTGTCCTGGCGGTAGGGGTCGGTGCCCGGGATACTTCCACCGGGCGGTGGCGGGGCCTGGGAGGAAGCATACCTCGACTGTCACCGCGTGCTGCAGCTACATCGCGCTGTTGAAAAAAGTTAGGGTGGAAGCGGTTCCTTGTAGGGGTTAGCATGGGTTTATGTCCTGTTTAAAGATACTAAACCGAGACCAGGTAGTTTAGGAGTTCAGTGTTACAACATTGGTGACTGTCGTTGCAATTGGTGCTACACGTTATTCTGGGGGGGGAGAAAGAGCTCTGATGGGCTTTTTCATCCTGCTTTTTTTTTTTTTTTTTTTTTTTTGCCTGAAGCTGGGATTAACTTTCGTATAGGCGGTGACGTAAATTAGAGTCCAAAGCTCAGCATGTGTGTACAGATGTTGTTTAGTTTGTTACATAGCATTTTTTGTGGGACAAAGGCTAATCTTCTGGGACACAAACCTTACTGGTGATCTTTAGATCTTTATTTTTCAGTGGACTCAGTATCACTGCTTCCTCAGAAAAGATCATGTGTTTGCACTCTCCAGATAGATAGCCAGTACCACAAACATGCGATGCATTGTTGAACTTGACAGTGACAGTGCTCTTAGAAAACCCTTGCATGCTAACTTAAAAACTTCCCAGTGCCAACTACTGCAGGTACACAGAGGAACATTATCACACTGGTGATGACTTGGGCTAGTCAGTATGTCATTTTATTTTATTTTAACAGAAAAAAATCTTAAAGCAAACATGCAAAGATCACATCACGGACCTGAGAAACAGGTGAACTTGCAGTTGTTGCACCAAATGCAAACTCTGTGTCTGAAACTTACCCTCACAGAAATAGTGTGGTTTTACTTTCAAACTGATGCCTTAAATACAGATACTGGCTTGTTGGGGAGGGGAAATAGTAATTTTCAGTCTTAGGTGTCATAGGCTTTACATCCCTAAGCGTGACGTAGGAGGACAGACCAGGTGAAAACCAGGGTGTTTGCATGTGGTTAAATAGTTATGGGTTTATGCTCATGGAAAGCAATGTTTGACAAATGTTAAACTGGTTTGACAAACTCTGTAGACCAGCGCTGCTGCCAAGAGAAGCGTCCCCATTACTGCCTTTCTGCTGCGCCATACCTTTACAGGCACAGTTAAATGGATGGTAAACTGGAATTTGCACTGCTGAAAACTAACATTCTTCCCTTCCCTCCTCCTTTGCAGAACTGTTTTGTCAGCTGGAGTAGTTTTCTAGTGTAGTTCACTATGGACTCTTCAAACACCTGCTGCAGAAGAAAGTTCTGAGAAGAGTCAGGGAAAGGCAGGGTTGTGTCTTCTGGCAGCTCTGACCACTGAAGGTGGTCAGCCAGTCACAGCCCCAGAGCTGGTTACTTGGCAGCCACAGGGGTATGGGTAAACAAATGTAACCTTTTCCAGGGTTTCAGTCTTTGCTCTTTTCTGAAGAAGATCAATAGCTATTTAGTCCGTCTCAGTGCTAAGTCAGCTACAACGGCCAAAGTGCCTTTACAATAGAGGTAATGACTCCAGATTATTCTGTGGTGGAGCAGAAGAGAAGCACTTGTATGGTCAGCGCTCCTAAGTCTCACGACGCAGTGGTGAATTCTCACACTGCTAAGACAAGGCTCATAGAAGAGTCTTTGAGTGTACTCTTTGTTATAACTCTTCATGAAATTTTTAAAACATCCTTCTCCTCAGCATGTCACTTCTTTCTTTTTTAAGCTTTTTGCTTGTTTTGCCACCACAGCTTCTATTTACCCAATCTTTTTTATGCCATTAGTGCTTGATCTAGTGACTGCTTTTCTTGAGGGACCTTGTGGTATTAATATTGGTAGAACTGAGTGTCAGAGTTGCCCCCAAATGATTAATAAACTAAGGTAAATCTGTGATGTGGCATGTATGTTGCAGGGTTTTTTTGTCAGCATTAGAACAAGCAGTTGTGATTCTGGCATTAGCCTTGCAAAAAGAAAACAAAAAAGTTAAGTTTTATCTGTAATTGATATTTCTTAATACAATAGCTACTTTCCTTGTTGCTGAATTAAGAGTTTTCTCTGGCTACTATTTTTGATAGTGAAAAGCAAGAACTGAGGAGAAAAACCATGAAGGTATTGGTTATTGGCCTTGGAGGGTAAGTATTAGCAATTAAATTTCCTCTACATCTAAAGACTGGTCTTCCTTTCAGAATGAAGTTTTCTGAATGAATGGGGGTTGGAACTAGATGATCTTATGGTCTTTTCCAACCCTAATTATTCTATGATTCTGTGTTTTTTCAAAGTATATTACAAATACAACATGTAGTGGTCTCAGCTTATAACATGTAACCCTCAAAAAAGCAGTTAAATGTTGTCTCTGAGATCTCAGGTACCACCTTTGTCTAACCTCTTTCCTGGCACTGCTAGATTTACTGTCTGAAAGCTATTGAATCCTTTCAGAGCTACCTAGTATTTAATGGGAATAAACTTTTTTTGGGGTGAGATTTAAGGAGGAGGATTGTTTGTTTGTGTCTAACTATACATAAATATGTGTGTTAGCATGTACATATGTTTAAAATACTGATTTTTGTCTTGATGCATTTTTTCCTGTTTTCTAACTCAGTGTAACAAATGGGGGGAAAACAACACTGGCAGAAAAGCTTAAGAAAATGCTTCCCAATTGTGATATAATCTGTCAAGATGACTTCTTTAAGGTAACTGTATTGATGGAAAAAACCTGATAGGTAAAGGTAGACTTGCGTAGGTTTTAATATAACTTCTCTTTTCAGTTCTCCTAGTGATAAACTTTTAAAATTGATGCTGCTTAAAATAATGTTAACTTCATGATAAAGAGAAATAAAATGGGCACTGGGGTAATTGAACTTTCAGTAGCAAGAACCACTGAATATACCCAGCAAAAAGAAGTCCGTTGTCTTCTTTGATCTTTTTCAAGATACTTTGTGCTAATGAAGTTAATGAAATTTTGTTAACTTTACACCTGTATAGCAATTGGTAGTTCTTTGTCTCTAAAATCAAAACAGAAGGACAACTTTTGCATTGACATTCGAGTTGTTTGTTAAGGATAGTGAAGGAGCTCTTATTTCTGAAGTAAAGCTCTAATGAACTTGTCAGGTATGACTGGGAGAATTTCTTGTTCCAGATTAAACAATATTTTTGTGTTTGTATTCTATTTTAACAGTTTTATACAGCATTTTAATTTTGAAGATAAATTTAATCACTTGGGATACAAAAGTGTATAACCCCCATGTTTGTAACTGAAAAGTGTGTATCTGTGACAGTGGTCATAAAAGCAACCTTGAAAATACTCTTTTTTTTTTTTTTTCGCTTCTTCAGCCAGAGTCTGAAGTAGAAACAGATGAACGTGGATTTAAGCTGTATGATGGTCAGTAACTTTGATGCATTGCTTTGAATGTTGTACTGAAATTCTCTTATGCCTAGCTTCAGCACTTCTTACTCTCCACTGTCTTTCATTGTCTTATTCCAAATCAGTCAAAACTTGGATCTGATCCTGACACCATTATTTCATATCAGATCACACATAGAGACCAGATGAAGTTCATGGTTAATGCTGGCTCAGTGTGCCAATTTAATTTTATAAACTTCTAGATCCAGATCCACTTTAGGCTAGTGCTTTGGTTCAGGTCATACCTAGTTGTGAAGAGTTGCTTATTGGCTAATCTCCGGTGATACTTGATGGTCACAAAATGTATTACTCAGAATATTGGCCAGACCCTTAAATTGTCTCTGAAAACTGACTCTTTCTCAGCTATGCAGTCTTTAGCTCAATTTCTAGACTTCATGAAATTGGAATGTGAAACTGAAGGGTTAAGTTGGACATTCTGTTTCAAGTCTGTAGCTTTAATGCTGCTCTTAAAACCTCCTCTAAAATGTGTTTGCTCTTCTGTTACCCAAAAGCTGTCTTCTCTATACCTTTCAGTACTTACTCAGTATGTTCTTACATGTCTACAGACAAAACAGGTGCTACATTGTGCTGTTTTGCATTCTCCTTTCAATTCATCCATCCATCCCCACCTTCCAAATACCTGAACCCAATAAAAACTCAAAGCAAAATGTTTTCAGCTCCTGCTCCCTTCACCTGTGTCAGTGACAATTGTCAGAAGGGTACAGGTCTCAGGGTAAGTAAGTTTTTTTACAAGTTTTGCGGAATATGGGAACGGTCCCTTCTGTTTCTGTTGTCAGGGAAAGGCTGTGAAGTGTGTTCACACACCTTCTGGTGCTACAGAACTCAGAGAGACCACCAAAATATCTCAGTCCTGGTGAAAGCTTTATTTTCAGGGTATCATCAGTTGCAAACATGAAACTACTCATATGTGTGAGAGATATTTGGGGGTAATCCTGTTCCCTTTCATTTAGATTTGTATGTAGATTATTTGATTCTTACCAATTAACCTAGGTTTTGAGGGCTTTTTAATGTTTTTTTTTAGGGATGCCTAACTTTCTGTTTCCATCCAGTACTTGATGCCCTTTATATGGATGAAATGGTGAAAAGTATTCGCAATTGGATGAAAAGCCCAGCAAGCTCAGGTGTTGTGACAGAAGAGCCACAAAATGCATGTGACAATCTGAAAAATACAGATGTTGTTTATATTTTGATTGTTGAAGGCTTTCTGCTATACAATTATGAGTAAGCAGTAATATGTAACCTGGTATATTAAAGCCACATTAAAAAGGAAGACGGAACTAAACATGTTATTATCTTAGGCCACTTAATGAACTATGGAGTAGAAGATATTTTTTGACCCTTCCTTACGAAGAGTGCAAAAGGAGAAGGAGGTAAGTTGCTGCTCATGGAGGGTCACTGTGCCCCCTAACCTGGACTGGTTCTTTTATACTGGTTTTATTTTGGTTCTTGCAAAGTGTAAGCTATTAACATCATCTGTCCTCTGTGATTCACAGGGAAGACTGTGTGGGTATTTAACGAACATTAACAAAAGCATGCTGAGATGGGGGAGGGGTTGTTTTGGTTTATGGTTTAGTTTGGGGCTTTTTATTATCATTATGATTTATTTATTTATATTAGAGCACAGAGATACTAAAATGTTTTAGAAACACTACAAAAACAACTTGTCCAAATAAATGATTTTAAATTATTTAGTTTACTGACTGCATATTGGAGTTAAACCATGTTTAAAATGAGAAACAGTTTAAAAAATACTAAGCTGTCTTATCTTTGGTTGACTATAGCACATGATGATTATTGCTAAAGTAACAATATTCATGTGCAGTTTTAGTGTATGCTTTGTTTAGAGTGTGCACTATTTGCACCTTGTATCTTATTTAGATTATTGAGCCAATGTCTGAATTGTCTACAAATCTGGCACAATACTGTGTGCTTGGAGCAGCAGATGTGCACACAGTCAGAATCTGCTGGCTGAGGGAAGAAATCTGCTGGAGAGGATTTGGTTGATTTCACTTTGTTGGTTTCTCATTAGACTCACCTTTAAGCACTTTAGTGTCCAGGCTGGATGATGGATGTGACTAGGCAAAACCCCTAGTTATTTAAAACTTGGAAATCTGTATACTGAATATTTCAAAAAAAAAAAACCAAAACCAAACAACAAACAACAAAACCCCACAAAAAGTCATTTGGTTTGGTAACCATGCCAAGTGCAAGGTCCTGCACCTGGGTTGGAGCAATCCCAGGCACAGCTACAGGTTGGGCAGAGAAGAGATTCAGAGCAGCCCTGTGGAGAAGGACTTGGAGGTGTTGGTCGATGAGAAGGTGAACGTGCACCAGCTTCAGTGTGTGCTTGCAGCCCAGAAAGCCAACCGTATCCTGGGCCGCATCAAAAGGAGCATGACCAGCAGGTCGAAGGAGGTGATCCTGCCCCTCTACTCTGCTCTCGTGAGACCTCACCTGGAGTATTGTGTGCAGTTCTGGTGTCCTCAACATAAAAAGGACATGGAACTGTTGGAACAAGTCCAGAGGAGGGCCACGAGGATGATCAGGGACTGGAGCACCTCCTGTATGAAGATAGGCTGAGAAAGTTGGGGCTGTTCAGCCTGGAGAAGAGAAGGCTGCGTGGAGACCTCATAGCAGCCTTCCAGTATCTGAAAGGGGCCTATAGGGATGCTGGGGAGGGGCTCTTCATTAGGGACTGTAGTGATAGGACAAGGGGTGATGGGTTAAACTTAAACAGGGGAAGTTTAGATTGGATATAAGGAAGTTCTTTACTATGAGGGTGGTGAGGCACTGGAATTGGTTGCCCAGGGAAGTTGTGAATGCACCATCCCTGGTGGTGTTCAAGGCCAGGTTGGAGAGAGCCTTGGGTGACATGGTTTAGTGTGAGGTGTCCCTGCCCATGGTAGGGGAGTTGGAACTACATGATCTTAAGGTCCTTTCCAACCGTAACTATTCTATGATTCTGTGATTCTATGTAACACTTTCAGTACAGCTTAAGTTACATGTAATACCTTTTTCAATTAAACAAAACTCCAGACCCACAACTTTTACCTTATCTTAAATGTAACTTGATTGGCAGAAATAGGTAAGTTAGCAAGAGTCTGTATCACAGATTGTATTAAAACAAAGGAGCCTCCTTTGCTCCAATATTCATACAGCCTGCCAGTCTTTTTTTTTAATTTTTATTTTGGATAGATGCTGTTATTAAATTAGCTGACACTAGGGGGAAATGTAAAAGCAAATATATTTTTGTGTAGCACCAGAGTCTATCAGCCAGCAGATACACCGGGTTACTTCGATGGACACGTATGGCCTATGTATCTGAAATATAAAAGTGAATTGGAAGAGAATGCAAGTAACATTGGTATGGTATCCCTAATTTTAAACTTAGAAAATGCTGAAGTGTGGCGCTTACACAGTTATCATTGGGCTGTGGGTTGGTTTTTTTTGAATGGGACAAAGTTCTCTTTGTTTTTGTGGCACTTGGACAGTAAATTTAGGTCTTTTGCTATTTTATTTTTTAAGTCTATATGGGAGTTGGATTTTTTTTAATAATAAAAGTTATGAAGTTAAAAAAATATGAAGCTTCTGGTTACTAAGTCCATTTAACAAGCTATTATTTTAAATGGCACATTTGTATGGTGTATGTAACGAGCTAGCACATATATGTGTGGCTAAATAGGAAGCTTCTGAGATGACAGCAGATGCATTGTCAGGGTTCTTCAGATCATAACTGAAATCCTGGTTAAGTCACTTAAGACACTTCCTAGTGTCTTACGTATGACTGTGCACTACAGTCACCAGTCTTGCATGTGAAGTTTCAAAGCTGCGCCTGCTGATGAGGCGCCACCATGAGCTTGTGTAATGTTCACAGCTATACAGCTCTTGGACTGCCCACTGGGAGAATTCAAGTGGCTACTTCATCAGCACACACATCTTACTGTGCAGTGAGAATGGAAACTGTGATGCCTTTCCTTGACTTGCCAAAACCCTAAAGCTGAGGAATAACCTGAGGTCTTCAACTGCATAGGCACCCTTACTCTACTGTCCTAATGTTATTACCATTTTTTAACATCTAGAACAAGATTGTGAATGAAGGAAAGGGAGGTACTGTTCTTGGGGTTTATTTTTTCATCTCTTCTGATGGCACTCACAGGAATACCAAAACCTTTGCCAATTGCTATTAAGAAAGAACTGGCACAGAACTCACGAAAACTTTCTTTCATCTTTCTTAGTTTATTTGGATGGAACAAAATCCCAAGAGGAGCTTTTATCCAGTTTGTATAGTGATATAATACAGGAATTAAAAAAGCTGAGGGAAGAAAGTAAGTAATGTTACTGGAAATTGAATGTGCTATTCCATTCCATGTTAACAAAAAGCTAATCCTTTTATATGAAAATACTGCAAGGATTATGTAGATCTATATCCCCTTATGTATCACACACAGTCCTTATACATGTTTGCCCATTACTTTAAGTCATCATAAGCTATAACTTTTTAAGTTCCTTGAAATTGGATGTTCTGAAATAATAGGTGGATCCAGTGCTATCTAATGATAAAATAGTAAAAAAAAGCGGGGAAGCAAAGGAATATGGGGCAAAGCATTAGTGAAAACAGATGTGTTGTTGGTATTAGTTTCTAATATACAGTGATGTCACGTGCAAACAGATGTGTTGTTGGTATTAGTTTCTAATATACAGTGATGTCACGTGCAAACAGATGTGTTGTTGGTATTAGTTTCTAATATACAGTGATGTCACGTGCAAACAGATGTGGTGTTGGTATTAGTTTCTAATATGCGGTGATGTCACGTGCAAACTGAGTAATGACACTACAGGTTGAATTTATGGTTTTTATCTTTTAGATCAGCAGGTCACAGTATGATAACATAGAAAGCTTGGGTTCCGTCTGATGCAAATTGAAAGCCCCAAGACTGTCATATTTGGCAAGCCAACCAACTGAGCAGATGTTAATGTATGTTTATAATACTCATTCAGAGAATACAAGTAGATTTGTAGTGATTATTGAGTCTGTAAGCCTCAGGTATTGTTGAGTAATATCAACACTGCATTATTATTGAGAATTTCTTTAATCAGTCATGCTTTGGCTGACCTTTGTTTGAATGTGTACATTTTACAGAATATAAACATATTTTTGTATACAAAACTAAACTAGAAAGATGCAGTTCTTTTGTATTAATAAACATATTTGAGCATGGATCAGTACAATTTTAAATGTTCATATACAAAGGACAGTGATTAATTTTATGAGCTTCTAATCACCAATAAGCATGGTTAGATGAACTGGTTGTATGTTGTGGCAGCAGTAAGTTGAAGATGGTATGAAGTGTTACACTGCTTACTCAGTAACAGAAGCTGTTATTGAATATATAACTGAACTTACTTGCTAAACACCTCTGGTGTTTGCCAAGTAATTTTTAATTTTTATGTTGTGTGTTGGTTTGAGCAGTTAGGAGTGGGTATTTAAAAAAATCCAAACAAACCTGAAGAGAAGTCAGGTTGTTGGGAAAAGATGGGGGAACAATATGGAGGCTAGAATACAGATGCATTGCTAATAACATCAAGTACATGTACTGTGTGAAAATCAAGGACTGGGGTGGCACAGACTACTACAATAAATGTGCGCATCAGGGAGGAGGAAGAGGGAAGAAATAATTCTGGTTAATAGTCATAGCTCAGGTTGAAATTACAGTAACAAATGTATTCAGAAAGCAGCCTGTGAAATGAATGTTGAAGCTTTTTTGTAGAATTTGTGTATTTAGATAAAATAGAAAACTGGAAAGTTTAATCATTTATGGTGGCTGAATAATTTATGAACTCTTACATTTTCTTTGAAAACTTACCAGCTAGAATAGAAATCAAGCCACAGACATGAAAAGCAAACAATGGCTATATATATATATATGGGCTATATACTCTGTGTCAGCTGAACTGATCAGTGATTGAAATGTAATGCTTTATTGTTAACAGTATTAAGGGTCCTAAACCTGTATATATAAAGAGTTTGTTAAAAGAGTAGAGCTGTGTGAAGCTTCTGTTTCAGACAAAGTGCTTCCAAGTACTATTTTGTATTATAATTTTGCAGTAAAAATACTTCAAGATAGATTTGATGGGCTGTCTGACTTTCAACTGTATTTTTGGTTCTCTTTCCCTTTGGAAGGGGGCAACTGTGAGAGATTAGCTAATACTTGGATGGTTCCAGGGGGTTGACCTTGGGTAGCTACCAGGTGCCCCCCAAGGTGCTCTACCACCTGCAGTACATCAGCAAGTTCAGGGCATTACATAAGTGTAACATGTTAATCAGTGCAGATTGTATTACCCACCCCTACAGTGCTTTCCCTTGAGCTTCACCCTCTGGGAGGGCTTCACTGTGTTAGGTCCCCATTTGATTAGTGTCTGTGTTCCTGAGCTCCTATGCTTCTTAAAGCTATGCTTTCCTTAAAGCCAAAGGTTTCATTGCTGATCGCTGTGCCTTGTCCCTGTGGGATCCACACCTGCTTTTTGGTTGTAACACCATGGTCTTCATCATGGGCTGCAGGGGAATCTCTGCTCTGGCACATGGAGTATCTGCCCCTGCTCCTTCTTCACTGACCTTGATGTCTGCAGAGCTGTTTCTCTCACATATTTCCACTCCTCCCTCAGTTGTTCCTGTGCAGTAACTTTTCCTCTTTCTGAAGTGTGTTATCCCAGAGGTGCTACCATGGCCACTGATGGGCTTAGCCTTGGTCAGAGGTGGGTCCATCTTGGAGCCCGCTGGCACTGGTCCTATCAGGCAAAAGGGAAGCTTTTGGCATCTTACAGAAGCCACCACCCCTGCAGCCCCCCTGCAACCAAAACCTTGCTCCACAAACCCTATACAGTGGGTGAAGGGAAGAAATTTTTTATTCTTGCTTTTCCCATCCCTGCATGACACTATGCAGACATGGGTGCTTCGGTGGTAACTCCACGAAGCTGGCACACCCTCAGTCTGCCAGATGTCCACTTTTATGTTTCAAACAGTGAAAATCAGTATTTTCCATATACGTAAGAGTGTAACTACTGTCATTGGCTTCTTCATTCTCTCCTCTGTTTAAAGACACAGTATATATTTATTTCACCACATATGTTCCTTGAGTAAGGGTCTCTGTGAGCAAGGGTCTCTTTCTCTCAGGCGGTGTGATTTTTAATGAACCAAGTTTAGGAACACAGTTACCTCCTGTTTGGCTAGGCTTTTCAAAATTAATTCTGCCTTCCTAATTTTCTGGTTACTCTTTTTCTGATGCAGATGGTTCATTTGTCAGTATCTTGCCTCTCCTCAAAGTCTATGAGCTTGTAAGGAAACTGTTTTTCCTTGCCACATGTTTCTGTTCAGTTCTAAACTGAAGATTTTCAAGCCTGCACAGACTGTCCTTTACAAAAATCTTAACTTCTTCATTGCCAGGTAACACTTCCATGGGCAAAAGGAGTAGATGTGCTCCAGTACAGATTTATGTATTTGTGATATATATCATTTATCAGAATATACATGGTATTGAGCTTGCAATTCAGCAACTTGTAGTTACAGCTCAGGGCAGAGATCTTTAAGAATTTTTCTGAAACAATCCCCATGGTGCAAGGCTGCATCAAAGTATTACATACACATCTTATGGAAGGGTGTTGTGAACAAAACAGGTGGTGCTGTTTGTTCGTGTGTAAAACTGGTGGACCCACATTTTCAGTATTGTGCAGTTCTGGTTGCTACATCTGGAGGAAGTCCATAGTGGAGTTAAAAGAAAGGCAATTAACAGGATCAAGGGAACAGAGCAGCCACTTTGTGAGGAGAAGTGAAAAATGCTGGAAGCTGTCATTCTGGAGAGGAGAAGGCTGAGGGGAGAAAAGGGCAAGGTTTACAAAACCTTGAAAGCTTTGAGTCAAGTGGATGCAGAACTAGTATTCACCAGATTGTATGAATACTAGTTTTAGGGGACATTCCTTCACTTGAAACAGATTGACCAATTCTATTAAGGTGGTATTTCACACAGCAGACAATGAGCTTCTGAGATTTAATGCCATAGGAGGCAGACAGTACCAGCAAGTTCAAAAGGGAAGATTCATTGACCCCAGCACATAAGAATCAATAAAAGAAACAGGCAGAGCTCTACCATGGATGGGAAGTCAAAACTGGCCAGGGTCACCCATGGTGCTTAAACTGCATGTTCTCTTCATCGTTGCTACAGGAACTCACCTTAGGGAGAAAAGACAATGATCTCTTCTGAGTCTCTTTGGGAAATAAAGTCTTTCAGGTGCCGTTATAAAGTTGGTATATTGGTAGAATGCTTTTGCTTTTAAAGTAGTACAGCCCCTGACAGGAAAAATCTAGTTTGCCCCTAGCAGTTGCCTTTTCACTGCCAGGGCTGTGCTCCCTGTAAAGAAAGTAGTTTGGGAGAGCTGCAGGGCGGGAGGAAAGAGTGGGCTTTTGGAAGTGGTATCTTCTGCTGGCTGCAACTTCAGGCTATCATAGCAGAAGGACAGCTTTGATAAGTGTCTTGCATGTTTAGAAACATGGTGATAGAAAGGGTGGTGGTCTACATAAGTCTAATGGCTTACATCTAAGAAGGACTGAAATGCAAGTACAGGTTTAGATTGATATCAAGGTGATTTCTTCATGATGTCAAAATAAGGGAGAGAACATGACAATGTAGTCACCATGAACACTGATGCAGTTGGAACAAACTTTTTACCTTGAAGAGCTGTTGCTCCTCTAACCTTCAAAGTCTAAAAGCTGTTATTTCTGATGTTTACACTGTGTATTGATTCAGATGCTGGTTTTGTCTCACAGACACACACACACGTTTTTGAAAAATGGGGACTGGCCTGGTGGTTACTGATACGACAACGATTCTAAATCGAATTGTTGAAGGTGCGGTACAATGTTTTATGATGTAATGTATAAGTAACTCAATGAATATGTATGTAGCCTAACGAATATGTATGTTTAGGGACAATATAATTAAAGCCTGGCTGATGCTCAGGAGAGACACGCTAGAAGCAGCTATTCCCTGTGTCTCCAGGCACCGCAATAAATACCTGCTTCTCAACTTTGTTGGCCAGTTCCTCGAGATTTCTCAGAATCAGTTTCCTATGTTCTGAAACTACTTCATGTGCCCTTCAGAACAACGCCTCTTTTGTCCATCCAGCTGAGGATGATGTCTGATGGTTTATCTACAGCACTTGCCACTGAGCATCTCTGTAGTCAGAACCATCCAGTCAGGTAACACAGTGTCGAGAGAGCAAGAATAGTGTGAGAGTGAGGAAAACTGGAAAACTTTGAGAGGATTTCTGTTGGAAGACTGGTACTCCTTTTTCCAGAGAGAGGTGGTCAGAGCGCCAAAATCCCTTTTCTTCCGTTCCCCTCTTACATTACTTGGTTTACTAAAAAAACAACCACTCTCCCCTGCATGTCTTCAGATAGAATTTAGTAGGACAGTCTTCTCTGGGCTCTCAAACCTAGGAGGGAGGATGATTGGTCAACCCTCTGCATCAAGGAGACCTCTTAAAGCAAGCTGGAGGTGCACTGCGACTTGCCACAGCACACACGAAAGGTGTCGACGCCCGGTCAGATAAGTTGTGTCGCGTGGAGGAAGATGCGCTCGATCGTCTTCGGGGTCAAAGTGTTACTGTGAGGAAATCTAGCACCTTGCGCCTCACGCGCTGCTAGGCCCTGATTAACGTCCTTCCTCGCTCTCCTCTCCCCGCAGCCCCTCCCGGTGCTCCTTTCTACACAGCACCGCGGGCTGCACCGCACCCTGGAGCAGCCGAGCAGGCGCAGCCGCGCTCAACTACAGCAAAACTCGTATTTTATGCTTCGGATGACGGCCCGGAAGAGCGGTGCAGCACGCACCTCCGCCGAGACACGCCAAAGCCGTTCCTGGGGAACGGCCACCATGCGGCCGCCCCACCATACCCTTTCACAAAGGCTGAGGTTATTCCACAGCGAGGCGCCCTTCCCTTTCTGCCACCGCTGACGCATGCGCATGGCGTCCTTTAAGAGGCGCCCGCCCGAAGGAGGGCGGGAGTCCCGGCCCGAGCTGTTCTATCGTTAGTCGGGCCACCTGGGCCTGCCGAGCTCCCGCTACAGGTCTCCTCCAGCCCCGCCCGCCCTTGTTCTCTCGCGATGTTCCCTACAGGAAGTGAGCGAGGGAGCGTGCGCTGGCCGCGGCCGTTGGCGGCGGTAGCTGAGGGGATGTCGGCCGCGTGCACCGTGTCCCCTGAAGCACAGCCGCCGCTGCCGCCGGGCGAGCGCGATCCTCCGGCCAAGGCGATGCGCAGGAGGCTGAGGCAGGGACACCGGGAGGAGTGGGAGCAGTTGTCCTGGGTGGGGGAGGGTGCAGGTGGCGTCGACACCGAAGTGCCGCCGGCAGCATCGCCGGGAGACGGGGACGGGCGTAGGCGGCGGCAGGCGCAGGAGCCGAGAGCGCTGGCGGGGACGGCTACGGCGCCTAGGGGAGAGGAGGAGGCGGAGGAGGAGCGGCTGGAGCGGGAGCATTTCCGGAGGATCATCAACGCTTTCCGATACTACGGGTAACCGATTCCTACAGCCCTGTGCACGGGGCCCTGGCGCCGCGGCCGCCTTTCACCGGCTGCTGCGCGGGGTCAGCGCCTCGCTGTCCGTGCGGGCGACGTCTGGCTCCCGGGAGCCCTCCGTCCGTGTTCCTTGTGGCCGGTAGCGCGGGTTCCACTCCCCTTTCCTTTCGGGATGCACGCAAAGTCGCCTCGATGTCTTTGTCAGCTAGGAAACATACAAAAAAAAAAAAAAACACCCAAAATAGACATTGTCGAAGTACAGCGCACCTGGAAAGGTGCGAGAGATTTCTAGAGGAAGGTCTGTTTTTAAGGTGCTTTAAGACGCTGTAAAGTACTCCAGTAGCAAAGAGATGCAAACCGTGTCTCGGTTATTGTGGAAATTTCTGAAGGACGTGTTAATTTGCACAAGAGATCGGGCTAAGGCTTGCCATTTGTCGAGTCGGGAAAGACCTTGATGGTCCTATGGGAGTGAGGTAAAGGGGGGCGGGAAGGGACGAACCCTACTTAGTATCCGAAGCTGTTGAATGGTAGAGGAAACAGAATTTACTGGAGGGGCGGACACTGGCTGCAGAAGTTAAATCCTCTGCAGTTTTTTTGTGAACTGTGTAATACTATTCTAGGTCTGGGAAGCAGATTCGGGATGTAGCTACACTGCACATTGTATACTTCAGTTGACAAACCCCGGTGATGTGAATCATGTGTTGGATAGTCTTGTGAGTGTAACACCGGCGTCGTTTGTACATGACAGTGAGGTTCTTGGAAGGAGTGGGTGATTTATAGGAGTCTTTCTTCTGTTTGCCGCTTTTACTTTTTTGTTAGTTTTTGTTTTCCAAAACTAATATTTGGTCACTAGGTTGGTCTAGATGACATTCGGATGTCTCTTTCAAACTGAGTTCTCCAATAAAAATTGGACCATATCAAAGGCTTTGTGTTGCTTATTACTGTTAGCACAACAGCCAAATGTACTGGTATCAGAGATCTAACTTTATCCTCTGGTCTTAAAATCTGGGAACATACTTGTGAACCTTATGCTTAGCTGTGACTGGGTTGCCTCTGAATGCTTCAGTTTTCATCAACACATAGCAAAAGGATGTGACTCAAATTTTTCATACAGGAATTGAATTAAATTACCTCTGCCTCAAAGAAATAACTCCGAATTTAAGTGAAATTACATATTTCAGTAAAAATTATTAAGGCAGTAACACACTTTTCAGATGAGACCAGATTAAAGGTCTTGTTTTCTGGAGATATGGATTTAACTTAATTCTTTATGTGTAGTTCTTCTGATTTCAGTGAATTATTCATCTAGAAGGTTGCAATTCATTGTGAAATGGTAGGGGTTTATAACGGCTTTTTTTTTCTGATAAAACTTTCAAAAAGATGATATTAGGCTGATATGTTTTATATAGATTATCAGTTTTCTTATTTTTTCTGCCTTTTTTTTTTTCCCTTCAATTTTTTTTTTTTTAAACCAGTATAGCTATTGCAGTAAACATTCCCTTCTCAGTAGCACATACATAACTTTGGAGATGTTAAGTGGTCAAATTTCCCGACTGAAGTAGCAACTAAAATTGCAGCAGTGGCATCTTACTCCCTCTGATGGCTAGTTTTCCAGCTCTGCTGCTGTATGCTGTCACAAGTTTGAGAAACGGCAGTGACTTGGCCTGATAAAATAATTTTCTGCTGCCAAAAGGGGCAGTATCCCTTGTCCTGGCTACATGACTTCTTGTGTCTAGAGTCCTCATAACTATGGTCCAGCAGCTTGACACAGTAAAGTGACAGAAATCAAATCGAGTGATACACATACATGTCTCTTTAGGGTTAGCAAGTGAAATGAACTTTGTGGCAGACCTGGTGATTGCCAGAACAAGGTAGAGGGCAGAACTGTTCTGCATGAGGAAAGGGAAGAGGAAAGAGAAAAAGAGGACCTCTTAGCAGTAGATTAATATTTTCAATGAATTTTTTTGTTTTGGGGAAGCGGAAGAGTTATATTTTAGTGTTGTAACTTGTTTAGCCTAGTTAGGAGACCAAGTTTACAATATTCATGCTTCAGGGGAGTATGCTGCTAAAAGAAGGTAGCCTAGTATCTTGCTGTGGCTGCCAGAACACCAGTATGGTCTAGCTGTGACTTTCACTGTTTTTTTAGGAGTAGGTGATTTTGAGGATCCTTGTGCCCAGTCCACATCTTGTTATTTCTGTACGCAAAGATTACCACAACTTTTTAGCTACTTAGTCAATTTAAATTAGACGTATGAAACAATCTGGCTGATTTTGATGGGTTTGGGGTTGGCTGTTCATTAAATTTTGTAGATCCGTGTATTAAGGTGGTGATGATGTGCTGGAAATAAGTGGCTGGTGATGAAACTGTAGTAAGGCAATGGTTCTCTTAAACTGCAACATGTTTAAAAGAGTGGTAATGTAGAACTAGAGCTTAAACATTTTGCCTAAAAAATTGTTGAAAACTTGTCTAGTAAAAAATTGCAAAGTCTGATTTCTTCCTGTGTCTAAAGAAATTAGTAATTCTAATTTGAATAGTTTAGGGTGAATTATTTATTTACTGTGTATTGCATCGAAATATCTAAAGACCGTAAAACTTTTGCTTTTTAGAACAAATATGCACGAACGAGTGAACAGAACAGAGAGGCAGTTTAAATCTCTCCCAGCTAACCAACAGAGTCTCCTTCCTCAGTACCTTCCTCATCTTGACAAGATTCGGAAGTGCATTGATCATAATCAAGAGATACTACAGACCATTGTGAAAGACTGCACTCATATATTTGAAAATAAGGAATATGGAGAAGACGTATGTTAAAAATGGACTTTTTCATACTCCAAATGTTAAATTCTGTACACTTTGGGATTTTCCGTGTTTGTTTTTCACACCTTTAGGTCTCAAACTTTCTTTCCTTTTGCCACCTTTATTTTCTTCTTTCATGCTTCCTGCCAGCTGTATTTTCTGACTCTTCTTTCACATCTTGTAGAGCTGATGTTTAATAAATCTGTTTGTTGTTAGTTCTTGTACTTACACTTCAAAGCAAAAAAAAAAAAAAAAAATACCCAGAGTTCTAGTTCTACTCTGGATACTGCCTCCCTCCCCCCCCCCCCCCCCCCCCAACCCTGCATAGCATAAATGGTATTGTCTTTCTTACTGTAGGTTATTTCATATTATGGCATTCTAGGTCTGATAAAGTTTTAGATAGGGCAAGTATTTTTAATGTTCTCATCTGTAAAATCATTTTCACTACTTACCTGCTTTTTCAGTGTGGCATCTCTGTTCAAAACAGTTGCGCTCAGACTTGAAAGACTGGTATAAATGGAAACTGAAGTCCTTTTTTGGTATCTGCAGGAAAGGAGCAGTGATAGGCAGCTCTAATGTAAGCTTTTGAGGTTACCTCATCAGTACCTAAAGGGGTCCTCTTCTCAGGTAAAGCAGTGCAGCCTCTGCACTAGCTAAGCCCTGATCCTTTCCTGAATATAAGGACTGTCAGTTGTGCTCTGCTGTGCTGTTATCATGTTGTTGGGATTTTTGTTTTTGTTCAGTGGGGTGTTTTTGTTTTGTTCGGGTTTGTTGCTTGTTGTTTTTTTTTTTTTAATGTGGAACCTAATCTCTTTGAGGGTTGGACTGAGACCAGCAAACTCAATTTGCTTAGGATTCTAGGTTGGATTTCAGCCCTTGTGTCAGGAGTGAAAGGCAGGTGCTTTGTCAGCTAAAAATCCCAACAGCCTTTATTATATGGCTTTTGTGTACTCCCTTCCCCCAAGACTAAAGATACTTGGTACCTTTTGCACTAATCTTATTTTTTCTTCCACTTTAATCAGGGAAGAGGGAAGATTACACCAGCTTCAACATTTGACATGGATAAATTAAAATCCACTTTGAAACAATTTGTGAGAGACTGGAGCGAAGAGGGGAAGCCTGAGAGAGAGTCCTGCTACCAGCCAATCATTAGTGAAATTGTAAAAAACTTTCCAAAAGAAAGATGGTAATAGTATTTTAAGACTTATTTTTTTAAGACTTACTTTATGACATATTTTTATGTGATCATACACTGTTGCACAAATGTAAGAATGTTTTACGGAATAATGAAAAGCTTGGACTTAAAAATAGAGAAATTGCCTTTAATGCAGTGGAATTTTTTAATCAAAGTTGTTGTTTCTAATACAAGGTCTTGGAAAAGAGAATAATCATAAACTTCACAAAGGAGGTTTACCTTCAGCAGGTAAACCAGGAATAATTTTTTTCTTTTTCCCTGCAGTGTGATGTAATGGCATTTCTGTTAGCTCCTCAAGTAAGAGACCTCAGGAGGTTATGAAGTTAATTCAGTTGTGCAAAGGAGGTAAAATTTGCAGGTTAGCCGTTTCTGAGTGTGCTGCACATAAAGGGAAGGACCCCTGTGATATCCGCAAGTATGAGTATTATTGCCCTTCTTGGTGGAGGGAAGGAAGAAGACTCTTAATCTCTACCACAGTTTTATTGCACTGCAGATACTTCGTTCTGGCTTTGCTTTCAGGCAGTTGTTAAAAGGTAAGTCTTAGAAATCTTTGCTGCATATGCTGAGGGTAACTTTATACAGTGTTGGCTTGTTAACACCACTAAAAATAGTAATTGGTGCAGGGTTTTTAGGTAACTTAAGTAGAAGTGTGCTGGTAGAATCTTGGGAGATGCTAGTCCTGTAAGAATCCCATGTTTAATGGCTCTGTTTTGTTTTTTTTTTGTCAGCCCCGTTGTTACAAAGTACTTTCCAGTTTAAGCTTAGCACAGAGTCACAGGTTCATTAGGGTTAGAAGGGACCAACCCCCCCTTTCAAGACAGGGCCACCTAGAGCAGGTTACACAGGAACGTGTCCAAGCAGGTTTTGAATGTCTCCAAAGAGGGAGACTCCACGACTCGCTCTGGGCAGCCTGCTCCAGTGCTCTGCCACCCTCAATGTAAAGTTCTTCCTCATGTTGAGGTGAAAATTCTGTGTTGTAGTTTATGGTCATTGCTGTTCATCCTGTCTCTGGGCACCTCTGAAAATTCGTGAACTTTGTAAATGTAACAGGTTGCTGTTTTGATACAGCTGGGTGTTACTGTGGGTTTTATTCGTTCTCAGTAATGGCTAATAATGCATCTGTACCAATTTGGAAATACCTTCCACTAGCCATCTTTTAATTTTCATTAGTAAAGGCTGTTAGTGGTAACAGAACACAGAGTGGACATGATTGATTTCTCTTTTGCTGTGGGCTAACTTATCTCGAGGTGGCTATGCCACTAAAAATGTTCTGTCTGAAGGTGAACTTTCTGAAATGTTTTTAGTGCTAACAGTGCCCCGTTAGCTAAAAATTAATTAAATACTACAGGTTGCGTGATGCAGATCTGTAGAAGTCATAGTTCTGAAGGTAATCATTGTGATCTTGCAGGCAGCAGTTCCTTTTTGCTCTGTAGGCTAGCTTTTAAAGCATTTTGGTTATGGGAGAGAGCGTCAAATTTGAAGAGATAACATGTCTGAAGTTGGAAAGTCTTGCCTTTTACATTTATCGTCGGTGAACTTTTACTTCAAAACCTCCAGCTAGTTGTAGGAGGCAGTATGTGGTAATAGATTGGGTGAATCTGAAGCTGATAGCTTTGTGCTGCTTTACCAGGAATTCTGTTTATTGTCAAGCAGAACTAAGATGACAGTGCTTCTGTCCCTATTGTGGTGGCTCTGAAATACCCACTGGGGTTTTCTTTGTCTAGGGAAATCTCAAAAGCATCCCTATATAGGTGATAGATCTCTATTACAAGTTTGAGTTTGTCAAATGAAACATCTTTTTAATTTATAAAATGTGTATTGCATGCTGTCCTGGTTTTGGCTAGGACAGTAATTTTTCTTCCCTAGTGTCTGGTGCAGTGCTGTGTTTTGGCTTTAGTCTCAGAACAATGCTGATAACATACCAATGTTTAATTGTTGCTAAGCAGCACTTACTCTTACCCTGATCAAGGATTTTTTCATTCTCTCGTGCTCTGCCAGTGAGGAGGGAGGGGCATGAGGGGCACAAGAAGCCAGGAGGAAGCAGAGACAGGACACCTGACCCAACCTAACCAAAAGCGTATTCCATACCACAGCACATCATTCCCAGTATATAAACTGGGGGAAGGCCCAGATCGCTGCTCGGGTCAGGTATTGGTCAGCGGGTGGTGAGCAATTGTGTAGCGTATCACTTGTTTGTTTGTTTTTTTTTTTCTCGAGGTGGGATTTATTCCTGTTATCATTACTGTAATTATCATTATCATATTATTGGATTATTATATATATTTCCAATTATTAAACTGTTCTTATCCTAGCCCATGGGTTCTTGCATTTTTCCTGATTCTCTTCCCCATCCCACTGGGGTGTGGGTCAGAGTGGGTGAGGGGCAGTGTGGTGTTTAGTTGTTGTTGAGGTTAAACCATGACCGCTGCATACCTGTTTAAAAGCTTAATATTCATGATCATTGTGGATCTGTCGTAGCAGTTATGTAAAACCTTTTTCCATTCATGTACTGTTACTTACTGTCTTCAACTGATTCTTTTTCATAGTGACCAGATGCTCTCTCCTCCTTAGGTGTGCATGCTTCTTTGAGGTGAGAAGCACAGTCACTCTGAAGGGCCTGTGCTCTTTCTGCATTGTCAGGCTTAACTGGCAGTGATACCTCACCATTGTGCAAGAAGTAACTTCCCTGCTAGGGCAGGCTGGCTTTTCAATCTGATTCCTTTTTACAGTTTCGGAGGGGAGCAGTTGTTCCAGTTCTAAGGGGTAGACAGGGCCTGAACTGACCATAGTGAAGTTATTCTGGCTGCTATCAAAGAATGCAAAGTCCGCTTCCTCTGGAGAGGACTGGCTCAGGGTGCTAATGTGTAAAACTAGCCCATAGATGGAATCTCATATTGCAGCTGTGCATTTCTTTTGAGTTCCCTTTTGTAGTACAAGGTGCTTAAGTCTCTTGAGATGGTGAGATGAAAGTGCCAGAGAAAAGGTATATTGGTGGCACTAGGTAATGAAAACAGTTTTTTTTTTAGATTTAGTTTATATTGAAAAAGAGAAATATTTTTAATTCAAAACCGTCAGTACAAGTAACCTTTTTAATGGCTTCAGTGGAATTTTATGTTCAGTTTCTAGTTAACTTTATGTTAACATTAATTCCATATATTGGAATCATCTGAAAAAGGAGTTCAGATTTTTGAAACTATTCAAATGTTTTGTGTGATGCATACAAATGTTGTGTTGCTGCTCTTCACAAGATTGGCTTCTATTGCTTCAGTTGGTGTGCAAAGAACAGGAAGACAGCGCTCTGTGTGCTAGCTCTCCTGGGAAGCACAAGAGTACCAGAAGCAGTGACTGAAAGCAGCTGTAAATTAGAACACTCTTGTGAGTAGGTGTTACTGTTATCTTGTGTTTTGGTCCAGTCTAATGGTAAAAGCTGTTTCTGCCCTCTGTTCCTGTTCAGAAATAATTCCTTCTTTCTGTTTAGCCCTTTAACACAGAATCTGTTAGTAGCATCAACAAACCAGTTTCAAATGAACTGCCATGAGATGAAGTCTTCCTGAAGAACGGATAGATTTCCTGCATTATTCACATTCGTATTTAATTGTGTTTCAGCTCACAGGGTCTCTATAATATTGTCTACCTTTTGATGACGCCTTTTAAATTTCTTTGATTTCTTGGATTTGAATGAACTACAATCACTGCTTTATATTGGAGAAAATATTAAAACCAATAGTTCTTTTATTTCTTGATGGAATATGTTAAAATATTTTTACAAAACATTGTTTGGATTTTCAACTAAAGCATACTGATGTTTTTAATTCCCCTTTTGTCATCTTGATTTTCTTCCACTTCTGCTGTTACCTTTCCTACTTATGTGAAGGGATGTAACGATCATAGACTTCTTGTCCAAAATGAGCCAAAGAAATAGTTAAGCTTTTAGTTAATTATCATTCCATGGCCCAGAACAGTAAACTAGGGTATCTTCTCCAGAGTTTTCTTTTATTCATTAACTTGGCCTCTGGAACCACCTATAGGTTGAAATTTAAATGTCACGCTGTCCAGCAGTGATTGTATTTTCCAAGATGCAGGCAGGACAGCTTAGTTTCCTTTTTACTTGAAAACGTAATTTATTGGTCTTAAGCCTGGGCTTGGATATACTTCTTGCAAGTGCTCAGTCATAGTTACGGTGATGATAAAATTTCTGCTTTGTATGATTTTAATTTTACATAAAATACATCTGTACTTGCAGGGTTTTTAATCTCAAAAATTGTAGGTAATCTAAACTTTGCTTTAAACATTGGATTTAGGAGCAAGCTATCTCTTCAGTTTCACTACAGTCCATTGAGTGCTTTGCAGGTCTTCATATGGAAACACACAAACCTCCGCTGCTAAGTTTGGAGAAGTGATTGTACTGTTTACCTGCTTTCATAATTTTATTCGAAAAGTAGTTGTGTTTAAAAAAAAATCTTTGAAAATATGATTACAAATAGTGAAAATACTATACTGAGGATTGGATCTGTTTACTACGTAGATTTACAAATATTACAGAGATCAAACATCGGGAAAGGAGTCCCACAGTGTGATTTATGCTGATCTTTCCACTGATCTTCTGTGTATGGGCTTTGTATTTCTTACCAATTCTTATGATTGGGTAACTTTGAATTGTAGTGATTGATTAGTTTATGAAAATGAGAGTTGTGTTTGATTACACACAAATCCTTTCGCTGAACTTCAGTTTATCTCTTCAGCACCATCTGTTTCTTGTTTTTTTTTAAGCATAATAAGCATAAAATAAGAAGCCCCTATTTTTATAATACATAATTTTTCCCTTTAAAAAAGAACACAAAGTTAAAATCTTCATTAATAGCATTAATAAACATCTAAAAGCTGAAAATAAATCACACAGTGATGGCATGACAGGTTTTAGTTTGCTGGTATTCATTTACTGTTTTTAAGAGAATGCTGCAGTTTCAGTAGTTGAGCCAAACAGTCCCATGCAGCTCTCTTCTCTGTTCTTTAGCCAGCCTCTTCTCCCCTGTATCTGTCAGATTAACAGGACAATATTTCTTCCCTGTTGCCCCACAGATTTTTGATGGGTACTTGTGGGGTACCCATTTATGTTCCTATACAGTACTAGATCTGTGTCATAGAAATTGTGCAGCTGCTGGTAGTTTGAGGGTAGCTTCGTTATAGATAAGTGAGATTATCAGTTACTATATTATTATTGTATTATCAGTTGTCTTTGCAACTGCTGCAGTTAGATACCCACTAAAGGAAAGCAGGTTTTCCTAGCCTTTTAAATTATCTTACAACTATAGTCATTAAAAAAAACAGTTTCTGAGTGATTAAAAGTTAGCTGTTCTAATGACTCAAAAATTAGCATAATACAGGGTTTTGGAGTGCTAACACAACCACTGGTTTCATACCTTATTTTTTGAAATTCACCAAGAGCTTCTCACTAACAATTCCTTTTAATATTTGAAAAGCAAAATGTGTTTGAGCTTTTTAATTTTTTGAGGGTGGTAATTGTTATAGAGTATGTTCACTGCATACCTAGGTTCTCTGACTACAGACTTAAAAAAATGCTTTTGAACCATTTTGGAAGGCTAGTGTCAAATTATGGACATGGATTTGATGATACTGTATTCTATTAGCTGTGCTCTGTATGCTGAAATGAAGTTGGTGGCTCACACCAGCTCCTAGCAACTGATACGAAGAGTATACAAAGAAATCTGATTACTAACAAGTTTCCAGGTGGATTTCAGTCCCATAATAAGGAAAGGAAAATAATAAACTGCAAAGGAAAATGCAGTTAAAATCAACTATTTTCTAAGAGAATTTGGGAAAACTAGTTGAGAGATAGAAAAACTATATTATGAATAGAAAGATACAAGACAATTACAAGCAATTTAAAATTAGTTCAGTTGAGAGGCTCTGTCTTATTTTAGGATGAATAAAGATGTAGATTTTGAAATGTGGTTACACCTATATAGCTATTAGTTATCAGATTATTTGAAGGAAAGTGTCTTTCCTAATCAGTGTATGAGAATCTTGGAAGTGGCTAAAGACTTCAACCAGTTAGAAATACATTTGGAATAACAGCCTACCACTACAACTGTAAAAAGCTTAACACTGAGGTTTTTCTAGCTTCTTCTGGAAAGTGGATTTTTTTTTTTTTTCCTCCTTCTGGGTCCGTGTTTTCAAAAATTTCATCTTGAGCAAGTCATTTTCTCCTGAATTAATCTTTCTTATTTCAGTGTGACTTCCAGGCTAGCTTTCTTCTGGCTATTCTACCTTACCTCTTCTGGCTGTTCTACCTTACCTCTTCTACCAAGGGAGGTAAGGAGAACTGTTGTTTTCACAGGAGTGCTCTTAAGTAATAGCAAAGTCTTTATTTCCTGCTTCTTGTTAACTGGAAAGCAAAGAATCTGAAAGTATAATAGAATGGGAATGAAAATCCTCAATGAGAACTTTGATTTTCCAATTTGGGAGGCTTCACTAGTTAGATGATTAAGCCACAAACCAAAAAGTACTATTAAAACTTGTTACTTTTTGTGGCCTTTAGAGGAGAATAATGCTTTCTTTTGGTTTTGGGTAATAATCTTCAGAAATGTGCTACTTTTCAGAATTTACGCAACTCCTTCGCTCAGCTTTATGCTTATGCAGCATGCTAAATCTCGTAAACCCTTTTTGGCATCCTGAATTTATATGTAGTCAGAGATTCTGCATTTTGCTTTCTTTCATTATATGTCTGGAAGTGCTGATTGTGGTTTTCTTCATTTAGCTGCATATAAATTGATGTGTATCTTTTGTCTTTGAAGGTGACATCCAAAAGGCAGGGTAGTCTGTGTGTTCACAGGGTTTTTTTTGACATGTGAAGTTATGAAGTCTTGTTCACAACTAGAAACTGAAAAAATATTTCCTTTTAGATTGAATATATTTTCAGTTTGGCATGGAAGTGGTTTTTGTTTGCTGAGTGAAGGTTTGATTGCATTGTGATCAGTCTAATGCTTAGAATAGGTATATGTTGCATTTACTGCCTGTAAAATAAGAAAATTTTGAGATTCTTAGTCCTTTACTTGCTGAACTTGGAAGATGGAAGAGGTTTTTCTAGGTATCTCAGTAAACACATTGCTGTGTGTTCTGTGGTCGTCTTCAACTTGATGCCTAGTTACGGGAAGTAAAGGGTTAGAGAGCTGCAGTGTACTCTTAAGAAACTTTATGTCACTTAATGTACTTCACTGAAATTGGTGAACATACATAAAACAGTTGTTGAGAAGGTAACTAAGGTTTTCGTAGTCTGAATTGCTCATCAGCTTGTGGAAGTTTTCTGATATCAAATACTTGTTTATTTTTCATGCAGTGTAACCAAGATTTCTCGAATATTTACAATTTATCAGTGGGCTTCAGAGAAAAATGGTGCCATATGATAATGTTCTTTCTTCAGTTCACTTGAGATGCTTAGCTTGAGAACTGTAAGAGTTTTCGGGGAAAAAAATTGGTTTTTAATTATGTTCTGTATTCTGAATGACAGTTGTATATGTTGAGTCATTTCTGTGGATTACTTTGTACAGTTAACCAATCTGATCAGAACTGGCTCAGGTTGCATTTAAAAAGTAAAATTATACAGCAGATACATTGTAATATCTAAGTATATGGGAGTGGGGAATGTTGAAAGGACCTCTAAGTTTTGTTAAGAGGTATCAGATAAAGACTTAACTGTTATTTTTGTTCTGTTGCAGGGATTTCTCCAAAGTTAATATCCTGGTACCTGGTGCTGGGCTAGGTAGATTGGCGTGGGAAATAGCTAAACTCGGTTATGCTTGCCAAGGAAATGAGTGGAGCCTCTTTATGCTCTTTTCTTCTAACTTTGTACTCAACAGGTATATAGCTTATGTTTTACTTCCTGATTGCAACCTAAGGAGGCAAAATTATAAATGGGAAAAATTTGAGTAAATAAAACTCGCAAGAACACATTTGTAAGTCTTAGCATAGGACTTGCAACATAAAATGTAAAAAATTACTGGTTTTAGGATGTAATAACAAAAAAAAAATCAGTGGGATAAATGTGGGAGGGAAGCATTGTATCTGAGTTATTAAAATTATAGAAGGAAGCATGTCTTTTGGGTTATGAGACTTAAAATCTCTGTACCACGTATTTTCTGCATAATCGTGAATAGGTTTTATGGTTTATTGTTTCTGTAAAATGTATGCCTGTCTTACTGATATCAAATACATACTAGATGATGTGTGCATGATAGTTGGTGGCGATCAACAGAGGAATCCTGTTAAAGTGTCACATTCTATACTGAAATTGTAGGCCTTGTTTGACATGCAAAACAACCACTTAAGCACACTGAACCACTTCTTAAGCAAGTGGCTAAAATAATAGTCAACAGGTCTACAATTATGCTGAGGTACTAAACTTGAACATAGTAAATTTCACTGTATAGGTTTGACTTAAAGTGACATTATTGTACTTAGTATCCTGTCACTTGCATTTGAAATTACTGGTTTCATAATGAATTTCTTATGAGGGACAAAGGCAGCAAATGCAACTATTCTATTTCTTAAAGGGGCTGGGAAGACCAGGTGAGCAAATAGGGAAGAGTTCTGGGGTAGTGTTTTGGAGTTCGGGGGGGGGGGGGGGGAGTTGGTACCAAGTTCAGACAGACAGGATTTGCCAGTTCATTCTTCCATCAGAAATGTTGCAGCTTTCCTGAAAACACGTGAATTCTAGTCTTGTATTCTGTCGTCTTTATCATGATGTTTTGGAGCCCTGTTTGTAGACTATCCACCACAGACTGTGATGATCTTAAATCTGTTACAACTTACTGTTCAAAACCTATAAAAACACTCTTTATTGTGGCTGCTGCATGTCTGCTTAAAGCAGTAGTGGTCAATGTGATAAAACCAAGTATTTTCTATAGGTTTATTTGTTCTTTTACTTACTTAAATGACTCTAATCTGGTGGTGAAATTGGGTATTGGTAGTTGAGCTAATCTAATGCCTTTTAGCTACTGAAAGGAGGTCACACTCTTGTCATCCTTACCCATTACATCTCTGCTGGCTCTGACGTTCTTCAGAACTTCTGAAGTAGCATAAAAGTATTAATTTCCCATCTTTGGGAGCACTGATTACCTGTCATAGTGGTTCAAAGGTGAAAATTAACTTCACTCCTAACTGATAATATTTTTTGTCTTCATCAAATACTGAGGCTTTGGCCTATATGGGGAATTCTGAAAATCCAAGCTTAGTTTATGATAGTAATAATTCTTAACAGCTAATGCTCCTGTAGTGTTTCCTATACATATAAGATGTGTATCAAAGAAGTATGCTTTAGGCTTGCTAATGGTGTTAGATATAAATTGAGTATCGCTCAGCTGCTGTAATCTCCATATTTGCTGGGCCAAGGTATCAGTTACAAGTTTTCTTATCAGCATGGAATAGAATATAGCTAACCCGACTCTGAATTTCAGTCAATTCAGTTGAAGTCCAAGTATTCCTTTCTGCTAGATCTGACTGTGGGCTTGGGATGTCTCTTAAGAAGGTTTTGGGGACTTTTTGGATCTTTTATTTTAGTCTTAAGTGGCTGTTCTCAGCCTACTGAAATGGATAAGTTTACCTTTCTGGAATTGGAAGAAAAAGCAATCATCAGTATGAGCTGAAGATACCAGTTAAGGAAAAGTTGTAAGAAAGGATTTTGAGCAATAGTTTTAAAATGCAGTCTTACTTTTTTTTTTTTTTCAGTTGATAAAAGGATGATGATTTTGCTAACATGCTACAGTTTGGATGTACCTACATTCACTAACCCTTGTTTATTTTTAGGAAGATGAAGTACTGTTTTGAGTGTCAAGCCAACTACTACAGTGGGCTTTTAGATGTGGTACAGTGACTTAAGCCTTTTGTACGCAGAGTGGTATCTGCTGGTTTTTATGCTTTAAGAAAAAGTAAATAAATGTAATCCTCTTAAATTTTCAACTTTTATTATTGTGGATAAAGTTGCCTAGCATGGAATGGAGAGAGTATGTCATGGACAACTGTGGTCACTGTAAGTATTTTAAATTTATTAGAGTGCATTATTCCATTGAGGAAGCTCTAATTCGAAACTGAAGTGACCCTGGAGTATCTTAACTGCAGTGGCTTCAAGGCTGTTGCAGTCCTTGTATGAGTAATTGTGCTTTCCTTCTATGGGTAAGGTTGTCACTGCTGGTGTATTTTTCTGGTGTTTACATAAGGTCTGGATATAATGACAAATGGCAGAGCTGATCACTGGTAGTGTACAGACACCATTTCTTACGTGTTTTGGAAGAGGAAAAAGGGAAAAGCATGATCTGTTATCCTCCCCCTGGAAAGCATAATGAAATTTTCTGGCAGTTTAGAGCCACAGGACATGTGTTACTTCCCTTTGACATCTGACTGGAGGGGAGGCAACACTAAGGTAGTACCTGTGTGGAGGAAGCAGGGGCAGCTGTTTGCTGACTTGCTGTTTTCTGTTGCTGGAGATACAGAGCACAAGGTCAGAAGCCTTGGTCTAACAGACCTTTAGTAGCAGTAGTTCAGTAGTCCTACTTACTTGTGAGAAGGCTGATGTAATATAAAACACTTTGCACCCAAGTCAGAATACGGTTGGTTTAAAAAAGCTTTAATTAATACCAGCAGAATTCATGCTAATAATTGGCTAATCTTTACTTTCTGGACTTCAGATAAATCTAGACACTCTGAGAAGGCTACTTAATTGTATTTGTTCCATGCCCATGAATGCCTTTGGATGAAAAGTTAATCAAGCATTTTTTCTTAAGTCACTGCTCAGAAGTAAGATTTGACCTACCCATCTTCTCCAGAATTGTCTTTTCAGCTAAATATTGATCAGTAAATGCCCCTGTGGAAAATAGTGAAGTGCATCACACTTACTTAAAGATACTACATCTTTATAACATAATTGACATCATACATTTTCTGTTGGAAGGATATAATTGTAAAAGTCTGCAGTACTTAGTTTTGAAGTATAAATTACTGAAGATGGGAATGGAGGTTTTCAAGTTTGAATATGGAGAGGGATTGGTCTTTTATATTAAATTGGGAATTCTTTTTGCAACTGTTCAGAAGTCTATATGAATATACTTTGTTCTCACAAAAAAGCAGCTCAGAAAATCCTTTCTAATCTACTGGGATTTCTTATTTTCTTTACCTTTTTTGTTGTTAAAGAAATACTTAACTAGGAATATAGGAAAAACTTGACTAGGAATGTAAGGAGAATCCTAGAATGGTTAACACAGCTTTTGATAGCCAACATGTTTGAGAGTTTTGGTCTTTGGGTTTTTTTTTGTGATTGGTTTTGTGGGGTTTTGTGGATTGGTTTGTTTGTTTGGGTTTGTGGTTTTGTTTGGTGTTATTTATTCATCTTCCTTTTTTTAACCACAATAGAAATGCCTTTCTTGAAGAAAATTATGCCCATGTTATTTGGACTTTTTCTCCTGCATTCTTTTCCTTTGACTGACTGCATATATAGGATCATAGATTAGTTAAGGTTGGAAATGACTTTAAGATTATCTAGTTCCAGCCCCCTTGCCATGGGCAGGGACGTCCGCATTGTCCCTAGTCTGTCTTTTGTTTGCAACATACCTATAAAAGCCCTTCCTCTTACCTTTCACATCTCTTGCCAGACTCAATTCTAACTGGGCCTTAGCTTTCCTGACCTGATCTCTAGCTTCCCCAACAATGTCCTGGTATTCTTCCCAGGCTTCCTGTTCTCACTTCCAGCTTTTATAAGCTTTCTTTTTCCTTCTGAGTTCTCTAACTAGCTCTTTATTCACCCATGGCCATCCTGGCCTTCTTGCCCCATTTTCTTAATTGTTGGGTCACAACACTTCTGAGCTTGGAGTAGGTGATCCTTGTATATCAACCAGCAGTCTTAAGTCCTCCTGCCCTCTAGGGCTTTATCCCATGGAACCTTATTGAGTTACTGAGCAGGTTCCTGAAGAGGCCAAAGTCTGCTCTCTTGAAGTCCAGGGCAGTGAGCTTGCTTACTCATAATACTCATTACATGTGCAAATGGTTACTGAGCCCAGTATACTGCTGCTCAAGTACAGTTTGTTCTTGTGTTTTGTTTATTTTATTTTTTTTATCTGTTGGTTTGATTTTTTTTTTTCCGTTTTCTGATGAGATAGAAATACGACATGAAGAAAGTAATAAAATGTTATTTCAAAGACTTTTACCACAGGTGTTTTCTGTCCAGCAGCCAAAAGAGTGCACTTTCTATAACCTGGTAGATTGCTAGCAGTTTGACTTCTGTTTCAAGGGACAGATGTATCCTCTGTTGTCTCTGAAAGAAAATGGCTTCATTTTTTAATTACAAACTGATCCTACAGGACTGTGGGAAAAGCTGTTTTTTATACTTTAATGATGTATTTTACCACTTTTAAAAGATACGAGTTGACTTAGTTTGTCATGTCGACCCACAAATTTTGTTTTACAAAGACATGTTTACTTAGCATAATTGCAGTGCTCCAGGTGTTACTAACTTAAAATGACATCTAGAGCAAAACTGCTATTTTGCAAAATGGAATTTATTAATTTATTTTTGAAATCTAAAAGCATTCTTTGAAAAATGCTTTTGTTCTGTGCTTCAAAACCCCAGTGAAGGTGGTTTAGAAAAGACAGAAGAGTTTAGAATGAGAACAGATGTTCCCAATAAAATTAATTGAACTAATGTTATTAAGTTGCCTTTTTTTTAATAGAAAAAAAAATTATCCAGAAAGGGTTAGCTTTATTGAATATACTAAATCATTAATTTACTTAGTCTTACGAAAGAATCCTATGCATTTTCTTTCCAGTGGAGAAGTTGGAGAAAATGGTAAAAAGTGTGTAAAGAAAATTTTAAAGCTAAAAAAGGCAGGGGTTTTTTTGTTTGTTTTTTTTTTTTTTAGATAATTTGTGTGTTAGAGTAAAATTGGGCTTTTTTTATCAGTTTGTAAATTGATAGGCAGTTTGAAATGTTCTGAACTAGATGAAAATCTTTTAGGAAATGTGTAGCTTTTTATCAACAATATTGATATTGGTGAAAGTCTTTGACTCCAGTATGTCTAGGTAATAGATAAGTAATTAGTTGAAACTGAATTGTGCTGATTTCTATATTTTGCAGATGTTCTGAAATTAACTCATGTAAGCTTTATCCCTGGATTCATCAGTTTAGCAATAACAGAAGATCTGCTGATCAGATTCGTCCAATTTATTTCCCCGATGTTGATCCACACAGTCTTCCTCCTGGTTCAAACTTCTCTATGACAGCAGGGGATTTTCAAGAAATTTATTCTGAGTGCAGTGAGTAAATGCAGACTTCTAGGCTATCCATGCAACTATCTTCAGTGTATTTGTTATGGGACAGTTTATGAATACACATAGAACAGAACTGTATCTACAAGCATTAAGCAAAAAGTATTAACTATAGCAAGATTTTCTTATTCCAAATCAGCTTGTCTTAGTTATGAAAAAACATAGACACCTCTTTGCCTAATAAATGTTTGCTGTAATCTTTTTAGAATAAGACACATAGTAGTATTATGGAATGGTTTAGTAGATTTAGAAAAGTGATGTTACAGAGGGAACAACATTACTAGTTTGTTTTTTTTTTAGTGTATAAAATTAATATTTTTTGTGGATGCAAGGTTTTTGTAGTAGTAAATTATAAATGAAAAATGTACTTACTGACCATCAATAGTAAATACTTTTGAGGCATATTATGTGCCTATTTAGAAGTCATTTTTTTCCTTATACAGAATTGGATTATCACCTCAGACCTCTGTTTTGTGTTTCTACCTTTCTGTCCCTATTAAACCCTTTGCCATTTTTCAATGGAATTATATGGCTCTTGATCTGTGCTTTATTGAGCACTTGATTTCCAGATATTTTCTTGCAGGGGTCTTTCTTAGAGTTGCTTGATTTTCTGAAAGTTCTGTTTTGTGCTAGAGCATCTGATACTGGCATAAATTAAAACTTCTAATTTTTTTTATTTACAGAACTTTAAATTTGTGCAATTTGAAGGATAAATGTCTAGAGAAAAACAGGGAGACTCAGGCTTTAAAAGATAGACTTTGAAAGATCCTGCTTGTTACATTAACTACGAAAAAACAGCTGGAGAAATACTCAGATGCTGAATAAAATGTTTTAAAGCGATGTGATCTGTGGAAGTACATTTCAGTGTGTACTTCACAGACTCGTGGTGTTCTCAGTGTTAACTACAGAGGGCCAAAATCACTGGGTATTTTTACAGCTGTATTTTTAACAGTTACGGTAATGAAGTTCATAGGGTAGGTGAGTAATAGCATGCTTGGGCTTTAATTTATATAAAATGCATTATAATATTTACATTTTACAGTATATAACAATATATATCCCATTTACGTGACATGTATGAACAATTTTATTAAGTTCATAAATGATAAATTTGTATAATATTTTAGAATCTTCATGTATGTATATATATATATATATATATATACACACACATATAAATAGGTCACATGAACCCAAACTTAACTGTTACATTGAACCAAAATGTTAGTTACTTGTAAACAGAATTGAGAGCCTTTAACTTTTTAATTGAAGTTAATGCTGAGTGTATAAACAAATACTGGGGTTAAATGAACTTTTGCAGGGGTAGAAACTTTGAAACTAATCTCTGTGTACATTTTTTTATGCAGATACATGGGACTGCATAGCAACTTGCTTTTTCATAGATACAGCACATAATGTCATTGATTACATTGATACTATATGGAAAATACTGAAGCCTGGCGGAATATGGATAAATGTAGGCAAGTGTGACCAACCTTTCTTCCTGCTAGCCCTGACTTACGTTTGATCATGTAACAGGCATTTAGTACTTGAAAAGAGCTGTGGGGAAGAATGTATTTGTGCAGAAAACTCTAGAGCTAGAACCATCTAGGGCTTGGAAGCTAACTCGGGTGTGTTCGGAGGATGTCCAGGTGTCTGCTAGTTACAATCAAGTCAATGCCATGTGATTTTTGAATAGGGAAGTAAATCTTTGTAGTGGCAGGTTTTGCATTCATGCATCACACATTTGTTATTTGACAGATGTAGTCTCCTGTGTTCTTTTCTTTGCTATTTTTCTAAGAAACTTGTTCCGTGTGTAAATACATCCTTGCATTTTTTCATAATCTGTTGTCTAATTTGCACTGTGCTTCTAATCCCTAAACTTTGGGGATGAGATCTGTATGTTCATTGGCTCAAAAGATGAAAGACTTAATTTAAGTCTTCCATGGTAAAGGAGCAGCAGGAAAAAAAAAAACTCTACAGAGTTAAAACATACTGTGTAGTAGAAACTGGTCAGTCACTACACCAGTCCTGGTCAGTGACAGAGTGGAAGCAGAGCTCCTGAGTAGGCTCCTGCCTTCCATTCTCAAAGGGCAGCAGTGCTACTAGACTGAAGAAATTTTAAGATACAGAAAAAACAATCTGGTAGGAAATGCAACTTTGTTGAATAAGCCCCTGAACTATTTTTTTTTATTTTGCATCGATCCTGAAATCCATTATAAAAATACGTGTGATAGAAATACGTTCATTTGCCTGTATTTGAATATGTGAGTCTGAATATAAATGTTCTTTGCACTTTCAGTGTGTACTTTTGAATTTTTTAAAAACATTTTTGCCTTTTTTTAATAGCCGTTTCCCTTGTATCTTTGTACTCCAGGTCCTCTCCTTTACCACTTTGAAAACTTGGGAAATGAACTTTCTATAGAATTAAGTTATGAGGATATAAGAACTGTTATACTAAAATATGGATTCCACATAGAGGTAAGAAGATGTAGTTTGCAATGAGCAGTATAGGTACAAACCAAACTGCTTTGAAAAAACATTTACCTTAAATTTAACTCTACATAATGACATATACTAATGACTTCTAGGAGAATTAAATGCTTGTGTGTTGCAAATTATTTGCTTTCCTCATTTTTAAAAGTATATAATAGGCCTTGAAATCTAGTAAGTACATAGCACTTACCTTCTTAAGGGAAACTTGGATATTTCTTGTAGAAAGTGTGTTTTGAAAACTGCTTCTTTTTTATCAGGTGGAAGAAGAATCTGTAATGTCAACTTACACTGTGAATGAACTCTCCATGATGAAATACTACTACGAATGTGTGTTGTTTGTGGTGAGAAAACCAGAATAGAAGTGGTCTGAATAGTTTAATAGGAAAAAAAAAAGTTGTCTTGAAAGCTAAAAGTGAGAATCAAATGGACTAGGTGATGTCTGGACACAACCTCAAATCAAGTGGTGCCTTCTTATTCCTAATAGGTTTTAGATAGTGTCTATTTTCTTAGTATCTCTATTGCTATCCAGACATGTACTATGCCATGCATATTTGTAATATACTTGTGAAAATGGAGGAGGAAGTGTTCACATTACACTGTCTCTGCTTTGGACCGCATTCAAAATAAAAGCAAAGTTTTATTCAGAATAAAATTTAATGTTTGCCGTAAATAGGCTTTGCAAATGCTGCTTTGTTTTCTGTAGATTGATGATTTTATTTTTTCTACTTCCTGATATTAGGAATACTTAGAGATGCTTACTGTACTAGTTGTGGCATAGGAAAGTTATTTCTAAGCATATACTTAAATTATGAAGTCTGAAATGATTGGAAAGTGATAAAGTTATTCATAATGGATAAAATAGCCATCAGAACTATTAGACCAGAATGAAGTAGATTATTATACAGATTCCAGTATTTGACTGTACTACTGTTAACAATATAATCAAAACAACCCACAGACTGAAACTTTTGAAATGCTCTGTGAAAGCAGAGTACTGTGTGATGAAAAAGTAGCATGTCACAGAGAAGTAGTATGTTAACCTCAGTTCAGGAGTAACACCAATTTTGATCAATCTGCTAGTGTTGAAACTGAAATATGTTAGATGCATTGCAATCTTAAAATACATTGATTTTGAGTCACCTAGTGAATACTTAAGCCAGAACAGTGGAGCAGTATTTCTTATTCTTGTTAACATAATTAACTGTCATGTAATGCCTTGAGCTCTTTTTTTAAAGTTGATAATATAGCAGATTTATCCATGCTGTATGCAGGTAGTGCAACAGAAAAATCCCTCAAGCCGGTGGGGTGGGGGAAGTTACATGTATGTTTTATGTGCTGTGACCTATCCACCTCTACCCAAGTCAGCATATGCAGCCCAACTGGTAGATAGCTTTCTTGTACCTTCAGGCTCTTTACCCTTGTGACTTAATGACTTCTTGTTGCTAATGTTTTTTTTTTCCCCTGGCAGATGTGGCATAGGTGAATATTTAATCTACACATCATGATACTATACAGGAGGCTGAATCTTCTGTCACTTAAAAGTGATGTACATGAGAAAATGTTAATTAATAATCACTGTGCTGACAAGAGGTACCATGTTAGCCATTGAATTTTCTTAACATATTGGTTACCACAAGTACCATTTTTAACCATTTGAAAAATTTCTTAAAAATAAAAATATTATGGTAAGGAATCAAGGGCTTCTTGTATTTTGTCATAATGGCAGTGGACAACAGCTTGCTTGTCCTCTATTTTTTTTGGTTTGGTTTATTTGTTGTGGGTTTGTTTTTTTTTTTTCATGGAGATGTCCTAAATGCATCTCTTCAATAAATCTGTTACAGGCTTTTGGATTTTTCCCATCATGGCAAAAAAATTGTGCTTTTATTCCTAAATTGAAAGTCTGCAAGGAGGAAAAGCACAAACTTTATTTTTTTTATAGTTTCAATGCTGCATAAAAGAGCAACATGCCTGAATATACTTCAGGACCATGCCACTTTCTGCTCAGAGTTACTACTGCGAATAAAGGCTTCTGGTCTGCTGCAGTCTTCAATTACAGCTTTGCTTTAACTAGTCTTATTTGAACTCTTTCTTCTTAAAAGCCCCCAAAATGAGCAGTTGGAGATCTGCAGTGGTCCAGGGCAAATGTGTTTAAAGCTGAAACATTGCCATTGCCATAAAGTAGGTGAAATACAAAAGCCCTTGGACACCTGATAGAAAGTTGCTTTAATTTCCTGTATTGTTGAGAGGCTTTGTGCTTCTTTGCTTTCTTTCTGATTTTTATTTTTTCCCTTAGATGGAGTATGATTAGTTTGCCTGTTTTTCAAGCTCCTTGAATTAAGATGTTAGGTGAACGTTGATAATGCTGTTGCTGAGTAGTGTATGTATCTGTAATATTGCCCAGTTTCTGCCTCCTCCCCAGTCTGTAGTTACACTTAAAATGCTGTATTCCTGTTCTGCACAAGCAGGCAATGAGCTCTTGCTTTCTAGTAGACTGTGGCTATCTTTTGTTCTAGTGGTTTTGTTCTTTGCCACCCTACATTGTCACAAGTGCCATTTTACGTGTTGCTTCTGGAAAATGTTTTTATTTCCTTATGTCAGGTATACAGTGATGTGCTTTTATTTATCATCTAGAAAACGACAGTTTTCCCCAATGTCCTTTTGAATTTTAACCCTTGCATAGGAATTGGAAGCAGAATAATGATGTTTATAAACTGTATGAGTTGGCTGTGTTTTATACTTGAGCTCCTGTTGACTTGTATTTTATTCATGGGGATAATTGTGTATTACTGAATGTGATCACATTCTTCTATTCAATTGTATACATGGGGATAGGGGGGAATACTTGAGGCATCCGTCAGTGGAGCCAAGATCATTTAATTTAGGTTACTGTTAAACTGTATGTGGTATCTGGTATAAAATAAAACGCTGCATAATCTTCACTGTACTAACACTCCTCCTACGGAGCTGCAACGTGTCCTGTATTTGTCTTTGAGTTCAGTGCGCTCTGGGGTGGGTGACGACGCTAAGGAAGGGGAGGTTTCACGCTCCGGGTGCGCTTCCCGCCGTTCTCAGTGTGGGAACGGCGTTTTGGACACAAACTTTGCCGTAGACTTGATGTGTCTCGTGCTCGCTGCGGTCCCTTGCCTGCGGGCGCTGCTTCCCGATCCCGCGCGGCGGTAACGGCGCGGCTGTGCCCCGCCCCTCACCGCGTAGCGTCCTGCCCGCACGGGGAGGGGGAAGGAGGAGGTGGGCAAGGCCCGCAGTGCGCATGCGCGCTGCCCGGCGGGGTGGCCGGGCGTGCGGTGCCGGGTGTCGCGCACCTCCCGGAGCCGGCGGCTCCATGGCCAAGCGGCGCACGGAGCCGTTAGTGTGTCACGTGCCCGTCAAACGGCTCCTGCGCGAGTCGCCGCTGTCCCGCGCTCCGGTGCCCGAGCGGCGCCCCAGGGCCGAAGGGGCCGGCGCCGGCCCTGGCCCTGCCGCCCCGAAGCGGAAGCTGGAGGAGGCTGAGGCGCCGCCGGGCAAGCGGCCCGGGCTGCGCGGTTGCAGCCCTCGCGGCGAGCAGGGGGACGTGGGGGGCAGGCGGCGGCGGCGCGGCACGGCCGTGGCGCCCCAGGACCTGCGGACGGAGGAGGGATGCGCATGTGGCCAGAGCAAAGAGCGCGCCGCCATCGCTGAGGTAACGGAGTGGGGCTGATAAGGCGGGAGGCCTCTCGTAGAGCGTGCCGCGGGGCTGCCGCTGTGGGCGGGCCCCGGCTGCTCGCCTCCGGGGAGAGAAAACACTGGCTGGGCGATGTTGGTGGCAGCCGAGGCGTTACCGTGGGGCTTCGGCAGCAGCCCGTTGCGCCGGCGTGGGGGGGCTAACGAGAAAGGCCGCAGGACTTGAGGGAGGAATGCCCTTCACCCACGCCCCGTAGTCCGCCCTGAGCCCCCTGGTGTTAACTGTTAATCGGCCTCTTAAAAGTTTTAGTTTTCATTTCCACTTAAGCAGAAGAAATAGCATTTCTACCTCCTCCCTGCCCTTTCTTCCTCCCGAAAAAATGATGGGAAACAGCTTGTAAGGAGTTAACGTTAATTAGGTTTCCCTTCAGCCACATCCCCATCTAAAAGTATGTTGGGGAGCTTGAAGAGTTCATTTTGATAGTGCCTGTGCTGTTTTAAGTTTGCGGCACAGGTTTGCTACACTATCTAACAACTTTTTAACTTACTGTTTGGGATAACTGTTCAGTAGCAATACCAGAGCTATCTTTTACCTGAAAGGTCTGGTGAAGGCAGTGGTCAGAGGACGGGGATTAGGTATTTAGTGATCAGGATGTACTGGAATGCACAGTGAGTTTCTGAAGTTTCTGATTTACTTTTTAACAACATACATTCTTCTGTCTGGTCTTGGCCACAGTTTACACATTAGGCCAGAAAACAAAATACTGTACTAAGAAAATCCTAGTTTTGCAAGAAATAAACTACTAGGTCAGCTTTTACAATTATCTAGAATTTTGATGTATATAAACTCACCTTTCCTCCTGCCTGGACCTTTTAAGTAAGACCAAAGTATTTGATCCAGGAATACAGAAGCAGCAGAAAGTCTATAGTCAGGTCATATGGGCTTTGAACTCCAGTTTTAGATTCTGGTTTTGAGAAGTCAGGGAATTTGACTGGGTAACACCCAGCTATGATCTGTAAAAAAAAAAAAAATGGTGGCTTTTCTTTATAGAATCATAGAATAGTCAGGGCTGGAAAGGACCTTAAGATCATCTAGTTCCAACCCCTCTTTCATGGGCAGGGACACCTCACACTAAACCATCTCACCCAAGGCTTCGTCCAACCTGGCCATGAATGCTGACAGGGATGGAGCATTCACAACTTCCCTGGGCAACCCATTCCACCCTCACAGTAAAGAATTTCCTCCTTATATCCAGTCTAAACTTCCCCTGTTTAAGTTTGAACCCGTTACCCCTTGTCCTGTCACTACAGTCCCTAATGAAGAGTCCCTCCCCAGCATCCTTATAGGCCCCCTTCAGATACTGGAAGGCTGCTATGAGGTCTCCATGCAGCCTTCTCTTCGCCAGGCTGAACAGCCCCAACTTCCTCAGCCTGTCTTCATACAGGAGGTGCTCCAGTCCAGTCCCCTGATCATCCTTGTGGCCCTCCTCTGGACTTGTTCCAACAGTTCCATGTCCTTTTTATGTTGAGGACCCCAGAACTGCACACAGTGATCCAAGTGAGGTCTCCTGAGAGCAGAGTAGAGGGGCAGAATCACCTCCTTCGACCTGCTGGGCACGCTCCTTTTGATGCAGCCCAGGATACGGTTGGCTTTCTGGGCTGCAAGCGCACACTGAAGCTGGCTCATGTTCATTTTCTCATCGACCAACACCTCCAAGTCCTTCTCCGCAGGGCTGCTCTGAATCTCTTCTCTGCCGAACCTGTAGCTGTGTCTGGGATTGCTTCGACCCAGGTGCAGGACCTTGCACTTGTCATGGTTAAAACTTTATGAGGTTGGCATCAGCCCACCTCACAAGCGTGTCGAGGTCCCTCTGGATGGCATTCCTTCCCTCCAGGGTATCAACCGAACCACACAGCTTGGTGTCATCGGCAGACTTGCTGAGGGCGCACTCAATCCCACTGTCCATGTCAGCAACAAAGATGTTAAACAAGACCGGTCCCAACACCGATCCC